CATAATTATTTAATGAGAAAACTGACTGAGTAGCATGTAAGTTTTATTGAGATTGGAAAAATATTCTTAAAATTTAGTTTAGTAAGGAACAAAATAGAGCAACTTGTTGGTAAGGTTGAACCATTCTTTTCAAAAATAATTTTCTGCTATTTTTATGTAGAGTATAAATTTGAATGACTCATGAAAAATCAATTTATAAAGAACAAAAGAGAGGAGAGAAAACATCTTTGCTGAGTCGCATAAGTAGTAAATTTTGAAAACGAAAGCAGAAAAAGGTAAGAACTTCTAAAATACAGGAAAATGTGGAGAATTAAGGATGCTGGAGTTGGATAATTCTTTTTTTAAAAAGAATTATTTTTATTTAACTGTATTTATTATTATTTATTTTAATTTGATTGTATAAAGACAGAGAGAGAGAATGTGAGAAAGCAAGCAGCCAGGTCCAAGACTTGGACCTCAGTCAGCCATGTGGGAATCCAGTATCTTTAACCATCGTTTTTACCTGCCGGACCCATGAATAATATTGGAATTTAGTAAGTTCTTAAACTAAAACAAAAACAATAGAAAATGGAAGTTTTATTATTAAATAGTAATAATAAAACACCTTAGTGGGAGTCAGTAGGTACTATGGTGGTTAATGCACTGTGTTCCTACATGGCTATTATTTGAGTCAGGACCCAGTGACTTGAAAATCAATCCATGTGCATGTGTGTGCATGCCCCAAAAACAGAGGAGAAGGGATTGCACTGTGGTCATCTACCCAGGCGGTCATTTCTCACTTTGTCTCTCTGGTGAGTGCACACACCCTTTGGCAAAAACTTAAAGAACAAAATAAAGCATAACAAAACAAAGATAACTTTAGTGATTTAAAGTCTTATTTTCATTCATAATCTTTCACTTTTAAATACTTCACTGCCTTAATATTTTTCTATTTTGAATGAAAAATGAACAATCAGAATATGTCACTAGAGAGACATTAATATTATGCATATTAATGTCTTCAGGTTTAAGTAGCATTTGATAAAATGATGGAATTATTCTAAGGTTTATAACATTATTTAAATCACTTGCAAGAACAGAATAAACCAGTAAGTACAGACAACAAAAGCAATCTTTGGAGAGTTCTGCTTCCAGATGGTACAAGAGTCTGAGCAGAACATCATTCCAGTCATAAGACCTACTTAGAATTAGATGTCTTCATTCCCTATTCTAATTGTTTCATATGGGACTTTTCTTGAATTTGGAGAGTGTAGATACAACACTTTGGGGTCTTGACTAGAAGCAAGATTGAGAATCTTAGATTTCCCCAGTGCTCTAATACACACAGACAGCCCTTAACAGTTTTCAAAACAAATTAAGTGAAAGCACCTATAGCAACTTTGTAGCTCTGGTTCAACTTAACTCTTGATTGAATTGGATCAAAATGGTCAACAGCTCTTACCTGCCTGGAAGACAACAAGACATGGTATTTCTAATGAAAATAATACTTACTCTAGTCTCTAATAGTTTTTTAAAAAAATGCTAAAAAAAGCACTTCAAAGTGCAAACTCTATTAATATCTATACATGACTTCCTCAAGCCTGGCCATATTGACATTTGGGTCCTACAATTCTTCATTTTGGGAGACTGCCCTGTAAATTGCAGGGTCTGCTGAAGCACCCACAGCCTCTACATACTATTAGATAGCAAGAGTCCCTCCTGTGCTTGTGACAAACAAAAATGTCTTCTGATGTTGCCAAATACCTTCTGTGGACAAGATGGGTCATGTTTGAAAACTCCTGCTCTAGTTGTTTCTACTAATTACATGGAGATACTGGTAACAGAGACAGACGTAAGTTTCCAATTGTAATTACAAACCAAGCCAACATATAATGATCCAACTATGGTTTAGTTACTATTAGAGATTTAAAAAAAAAAGTATATGACATTACAGGGAAAATATACCATGTTTAAAAATTAAAAATTGAATAAAATTTTTTAAAAGAGACATATTCTAAGTGTATGTATTCAGAAAAAAAAGAACCAAGTTCTAGAGCCAACTCAGTGCTAATGGATTAATAATCCAGAAACTGAATCCTGGCTATTGTTTCTCTTTGAGTAAACTGAGAACGTAACTAAATGGAGTAGTTTTAAATCTATAAATGGGTAAAAATATAGGAATGATAAATAAAAAATAAAAATATTGTCAATGTTTTTAAAAGGATTTCACATTCAATTTGTCATGAATTTGTAATGGTTATGTCCATGAATATTTTGGTTAAATGCCTGAATTGTTCAAAAAAATCAAGAAAACTAAATTTGTTAGTTTAATACGTAGTGGAATTTAAGGTGTTTCTCACTACTAAATATTAAAAATTGTTTTTAAAAGTTCTACTTATTAGATATATAATTTTTCTAGATTATTAACATTAAAAAGCATGGCAATAATTATTTTTCACATGTTGAAAGAACCTTCAGATAGTAAAGAATTTCTAACTTTTTCAGAATGCTCATAAGTTTCAAGGGCATTTCACACCTTTTATTAAGAAATCTGTTTAATGCTAACCTATCAGTGTCAAATAGGTATGTATATAAAATTCTTTTAAATTCTGTCTAGGGAAACTTAACATCAACAGAGCACATGTTCTGAAATTCTGGAGCCTTTTATCGCTACTGGGGTTCTGACAGTCTCCCTGACCTGGCCTTGTTCTTCATGCCCTTTCACTACCATAACCATTACTGCAAAAACATCACTGCAAACAAGCATACCTATTGATTTTGAATATTCATTCATCTTCTATGACATGGAGAAATAGAAAACTTCAAATACATGCATTTTAAACCACTAAATTATATTAATTCTATGTTAAGAAAATAAAACAATATGTGTACTAGCATAAAAAATTTTAAAGCATAAAGAAATAAAATATAAAGATAGGCTTCTATCACAATACTTCAATGCATTTTCCTAGAGAAAACTATAGTGTTAATATTCTTGTGTATCTTTCCAGAAATATTCAATATTAATTTAAGGGTGTGTGTGTGTGTTTGTGCATGTGTGTTTTCTTTGTACACAAATGGGAGAGTACTATCCTTACTGTTATTCATATTGCATTATTCATTTCATAATAAATTAAGGGATTTTTAATATTAGCAACAATTTATTCTCTTTAATAGTTAAAAGAATCCTAACAAGCATATATTTTGTACTTAATTTAGTTAGTGTTCTATTGATGGCTTTTCTAGTTATTAGCAATGAGTTATTACTATAATCAAAGCTATAAAGAAAAGCATTTTTCTTATACAGTCTTTGTGTATTATATATAGCTATTTCCTTAAAATCCTTGGGATTATTTTGTATCACTAAATATTTCAACTTTTGGCAATTTACTACTCAAAAATAGCTCATAGTCAATTCAGTTTGCTTTTCTTTATTTATAAGTTATGATGAATGGCTTTTCATATGTTTAAAATTCATTTTTTTATAAACTCTATATTCATTTCCTCTGCTTGTTTTCCTACTGGCTTTTTGAAAATCCATAGTTCATTTTTACATAGATCTTCATATTCCATTTCTGAGGGTGATTTCAATATTCAAGATGACTAGTGATTGCAGTAGACCCATGCTGTCAGAGAAAGGGTTCAAAGCAGCAGGTAGTAACTTAGGATTTTTTCCCAAGTCATTATTGAATTAATATGATCATAATTCAGGTGAGATCAAAGGACTTTACTCCTGCATCATTAATATGAGAGCACTACAAAAAGTTCATGAAAAAATGAAATTAAAATACAAAATGTACATTTAACTTTTCAACATAAGATCAAGTTCAAGACATTTTTATAGGCAATGCTATCAGTCATTTAATACATTTCTAAAAAACTAAAGATCCTGGAACTTTAACCAGGTAAATACAGTCTTTTTGACATTAATAATTAGGAAAAAAATGTATCATTCAAAGTATTTTTTAATTTTTACTAAGAAACAAAAAGAGTAAAGAAGAGCCAAATTAGGGCTGTATGGTGGGTGCCTAACAATTTTCAACCAAAAGTTTCAAAATTACCCTTGTTTGATGAGAGGAATGGCCAGGAGCTTTATTGATAAGTTCTCCCTAGCAAAGCTGCCCCAGGTGTATTTCTGACAAAGCTTTAGATAATTTTCTTAAAACAGTCTCAGAACAAGCAGATGCTATTATTCTTTAGATCTTCATAAAGTCAACAAGAAAAATGTCTTGAGGGTCAGCCAGGGTGTGGTGGGTAAGATGACTGGATTACAAATGAAGACTATGTGGTTTAAGTTCCTACCAGGTGGCTTGAAAAACACGTGAGGCAGCAGGTGGCATGGTGGTTAAGGTACTGGACTCCCACATGGCTGACCACTATTCAAGTCCCAGATCTGGCGGCTTGAAACTCATGCTGGCTTGTGTATGTATGTGTCCAAAATCCAAAGAAGAAAATGGAGGAAAAGGGATTGCATCATGGCCATTGCCTCTGGAGGATGATTTGTCACTTTCTCTCTCACTGTCTCTCTGTCTCTCCAGCAAGTGCACATGCCCTATGGCAAAAACCTAACAAACAAAAATACATGTGGGTACAAACACTTAAGTGTCCGAAATCCCAAAAGGAGGGAGAAATAGAAGAGAGAGGATTGCAGTGGCACCATTCCCATGAGGGGTGCTTTCTCTTTCCTTCTCTGTTTTTTCCTAGTATGTGAGCTCTCTGGTAAATACAGAACAAATAAATTTAATAATAAAAAAAAAGTCTCAAGCATCTAAAAAACTGTGGCCATGATCTTTACTCCTGACTGGTGTGCTTTGGTTTTGAGTGTGCTTTGATCGGCGTTGCTTTGATTGTAGTCAGGATCACACCGATCAAGCCACATTTTATCGCCTATTGCAATGTTTTGAAGAAATTCTTGTAGATTTGTCTGACTTGTGGAAAATTTCCATCGAAAGCTCTGCTTTTGTCTGTAGTTGATCTGGGTGCTACAGTTTTGATACCCATGGAGCAGAAAGTTTGCTCACCTTTAATTTTCGGTCAGAATTGTGCAGGCTGAAGCAGTCGAAATGTCTGTGGAGCTGACTTGTTACTGCCGTTAATCATTCGTCAGGTTCAACTAGTGCATGAACAAGATTAATGTTTTCCTTGCAAACTGAGGTGGATGGACTTTGCTGTGGGCATCACCTTCAACGTCACTGTGTCCTTTCTAGAATGAGTTATCCATTTGTAAACTGCTGAATTCTTTGGGACATTGCTTCCATAAACTTTTTCTAAAGCATCAATGATTTTGTCATTGAACCAAGCCTTACCGTAAATTTAATGTTTGCTCTTGCTCCAAGTTTAGTAGAATTCGTGTTCTAGTAAGTGCTCTATGCAAATTGATCTTATTCTTCTTAGTGCCTTAAACTAGATTATTTTCAGACACATTCAAAATGTTACTATGAGTTTATTTTGTGCAAAAAAGAAAATTGAAAATCATGTGTAGATTTTCCATAAGATGCATTTTCCTTGAACAATTTGAAGGTATCACATAGATATAAGAGGAAGTCTTGAGAGATACCTAGAAAAAAATGCTGCTAAATTTGACATAGGTTGTCAAGGATATTTGCTATAAATAAAGTTAACATTTGCTATTAAATGTAGTGTGGTATCATGACGAGAGTCTATTTTGTCAGTACCACGCCTTTTGGCTTGGAATTAACCAGATGCTATCACTGCCAGTTGCAGAAATGGATAACTTCTAAGTTCTCCAGCCAAAAAACAAGAAAATTCTCTTCAGTGTGGTGATTGCTGAAGATATTCATGACATGATAAAGACTCACAAGGGAGCCTATAAGACATTTGAAATATCAGTTGAAGAATCTTAAAATGGTAAATTGATAACCACTAGGAGAGAAATATTATTACCAGATGCCTTTTGTTTACAAGAATACGTTACATCCACATAGTAATATAATGCATTTTACAAGACGCTAAAGCAAGTTATCAAAGCAGCTATTCTATGTCTTCAATATCTGTAATGACCTAAAAGGGGGTGGGGGGATAAAAGACATTTCAAAGGCTATTTTTATAGTTTCCTCTGTATCAGGAGAATCATAACATAATGCTTTATAATCTACCACCTTGTTACCGTCTTGAGCATAGAAATTATTACGGAAAATAGCCTATTAATTACTTAGAAAATCATGATGTGAAAATCTGTGAAGACTCCCCAACTTCTAGATGGTATCTTTCTTAAGTTTTAGTCTCTTTCTCTGGTGAGCACACATGCTTTATAGTAGAAAAGAAAAAAAAAAGACAAATAAAATAAAGATGGAGAAATATTCCTATTTCATGGAATTTCTATTTAGTAAGGTACCAAGGAAGAGAAAAAAATGGAATAAAGGGAAATATTCAATGGGTTGATTGTGCCAGGGAATAACTGTTCCCTCCAATATCTTCTTCTGGAGCTTTTTATAATGAAAATCAATCTTCAGTATAAAGCCACAAAACAATTCAAGACTTCAAAGCATCAAAAAATGATAAAACCACATTACATGATATATGTTACAGTTGGTAAAACCAGAATTTGACTTCTTTCCAAAGTTAGTTCATTTTTCCATTACCACTGTATAAAGATCTACATGATTCATTCTTTGTCCAGCTTGATATCATGGAAGTGAATTCATAGGCATAGAAGAATAGAGAGGAGAATAGAGATGGGGAAGGAGAGGAGAGGGGGAATAAGAAGAGGTTGGTCTAGCAGTTAGCGTAATGGCTATGTCGCTGGACTCCCACGTAGTCAACCGCGGTTCGTGTCCCAGACCCGGAGGCTTAAAACTCATGCCAGGCACGTGTGCATGCGTGCCCAAGATCCCAAGAGGAGAATGAAGGAGAAGGGATTGTGGAGTATGAATGAAGGAGAAGGTTTTGTGGATTGGCCACTCCTGCTGGGGGTTGATTTCTCGCTTTCTGTCTCTATGTCTTTCTCTGTCTGGCTGGCAAGCGCACGCACCCTATAGCAAAAACCTCTCAAAAAAAAAAAAAGAGGTTGGTCAACAAACACAAGATGGCAGTTAGATAAGAGGAGTAAGTTCTAGTATTCTATAGCACAGTAGTAAGGTGACTATAATAATAGTATCCTGAATATTTCTGAATAGCTAGAGGAGAATACTTGAAACATTCCTGTAGAAATGATAGATGATTTTGGTCATAGATATTCTAAATATCTTCATTTGATCACTACACTACATATACAGGTACCAAAATACCATACTGTGTACAATTATTATGTATGAATTAAAAATAAAGTAAAACTTTAAAAGATATTAGGTGGTATTTAATTGTAGTTGTCAGGTAGAGTCCCTCAGAAAATAATATTGTTTTAAAATAGATTGATTTTTAGCTTTGAAGCCCATTGTCACTTAAATTTCCAACAATAATTAAAATTCTCTTATTTTTAAATTAAAATTGTAATGCCTTGACTTTTGAGAAGGTTTCTTAGAAATAGGTTCTACCTTTAAACTTATTTCTAGAAATTTGGTTTGGGATGTTAACATTTATGTAGTTCTGAGCAATGTTACTATGTGGAAAATCTTTGAAAGATCAGCTTAATATTCTCAATTCAACAGGAATACACTTCTCTGATTCAGAAAATAAAATCAGATTTTTTCAAAGTAAAACAAAAAAAGATATTAGAAATTTTATTTTACAAAATGTCCGCTAATTGCCATTTCCCACCCTGCATGGGAACCACTTCCATGTTTGTTATGTATCACACATAGTCAAATAAATAAATATCGATCATCATTTTTCTCATTTTACACACAAAAAAACAATACCTAGTCCATAAACATTTCTCCTGATGCAGCAAAATGCTGTGAAAGCTTTCCATGTCAGTATATATCCATTTCTCAGTTTTTAAAGGTGCACAGAATTGTATTTCATGGACGCGCCATGCTTTTGCCTTTAAAAAAAAAATTGTTGCCTGGATATATGATACTGGACTATTGATCAGTCCAACTAGCTACAAATATTGAATAATTCTTAGTGGTTTAGTTACTGTAATTTAAAAATATTCTATTTCACATTTATCTTCATCCTATTTCAATATGACAGGAGCAAATTGTGCACTATGAAGGTTGCTATTGAGTTTGAACATGTCAATATTATTTTAGAAACTATACTTGAATATGTAACCTGCCCCTAAAGTTTCTTTTATAAAGATAACTATATTGAAATTGCTTTCTAACAATAATATGAGCAAGGGTGGCCTCAACACCACTGGAAATAGTTAGACTGACGGGAAAGAAAAGAGAACTGTGCTGAACTAAAACAAATTGAGTAACGGGCTAGAGAGAGAGATGTTATAGCTATGATATAAAGAAAAAAAATGAAGGGAGGATTACTGTACCATGGAAATCATCCTTTGAAAATTGTATTTTATACACTGTAAAGAAACATTTTACTATTTTAAGTTCTCCTAAAGGAAAAAGGACACAAGAATATGGAAGTCCTGGGTGCGAGAAGGATGATAAAGTATAACAGAAGAGGAACATTGATAAAAACATTATGTATTTAATGCATAGCTATGTATTCTTTCCTTACTCTCTGCAATAGAGAAAAGCCAGATTTCCTTCGGGGATGTGTGATTTGTACTAATTTGTCCTTTACACTACAGTTACCTAATGGAGTGGTTGTCATGCAGTTTGTGTAGGATTTAGTTCATCCTAGCTCTGAAAGCAGAGTATTGCTCTTACCAGAAAGATTTGTTCTTCTTACCCAAGTCTGAATGATCAGCACAGAACTTGAGACTTTGGCGAGAAACACTATAATGTAAACACCTAACTCCACCTAAACAGAGTGGGTTATAAACAGAAAGCAGAGAACCATGGGAGCCATGTTGTCCCCACACTGGGCATCTTCTGAGGATTAAGCCCAGCACACACAGGAGGACAGTTAGCATCAGGGCCCTGTACAAACTACCCCTGTCCATCATATTTCTTGAACTTTTAAGTAGGGGATATTCAAAATATTTTTAAATATATATTTCAGTTTGATTTGTGCTTTCTATTTCTTTCAGTTGGAAGTATCCATGTATCTATCTATCTTCCTATGTATGTGTGTGTGTGTGTGTGTGTGTGTGTTTGTTAAAAAGCTAGAGATTGGGGCCAGCAGGTGGCATAGTAGTTAAGACACTGGACTCCTACATAGATGATTGTGGTTCGATTTCCAGACCTGGCAGCTTAAAACTCACACCAGGCACACAAACGTGTGTGCCCCAAATCCCTAGGAGAATGGAGAAGGGATTGCAGTGTGGCCATCTCTTCTGCGGGAGCAGGTGTGTGGGGGGGTATTTCTCACTTTCTGTGTCTCTGGAGAGTGTACTCTATAGCAAAAATCTCTCTACAAGAAAAGAAAAAAAGCCAGAGATTAAGGGAAGTGATAGGGAGAGGAACTGGAAGTTAAACTTGGTTTACTACATGCATTTATTTAGAAATTCTCTTAAATTTCTGTGTATAATTAATTTGACAAGGTAGAAGTAAACACAATTTGGATTTATATATCATATTCCTCAATCTGTATCTATACATGTCTCAGTCTTCTTCCAGGATCTCTCAATACTGACTTCTCTGTGCCTTTAAATCTTTACCTCATTTCTCCTCTACCTCTGTTGCATAATTGAGATACCTCTGTAATCTTTCTTAATTTGTGCCCTGTTAGATTATATTACCATTTTAATGTTGAATCACTTCCCAGGCTCAAAACATTATTTGAAAGTATATAGTTATTTCATTTATTTCTTTATGTATTTATAAGAAGGATCTCACTATGTTGTAATCATCCTGCCTCAGCCTTCTGAGTAGTTGGGACTATATCCACATGCTATGCATCAAGTTCTTTTAGGGTGGGCCAAGAATCAAATCGGGCCTCCCAGGTGGTCTCAACCCGCCAAGTAGCAACAACAACCAGCACATGCTACTGTGGATAGGCTTGAAAGTATGCAACTGTTAAGCCCTTTTTATAATCATTAACTAGTTCAGGTTTACCATAGATGTGTTTGGAGAAAAAAATATATGGTAGCATTTACGCTGTGTTTCTGCTATTTGATGACCTTCTAAAACATAAATCACAAGATAAATACTAA